TATATATCCACTAAGCTAGATAGTTGAACTATATTTCTTGGTGTAATCTGAGAGATGATCCATCTTGAAACTGTATCACTTTAACTCTGTAGCTTCAAATAGATTTTCACAAAGAAACAATGACGAATGAGCTCGCCTTTGCTGTTTAACGCGTTGAAAGGGACGAAAGATTAGAGAGAAGATTAACGTTCTGTTATTAAATTATTGTTCACAATCTTCGCTTCAATTTGTCATGTTATTATATTATTATTATTCGTTGACCGTACGTACTACTACTTACGTTGTGGTTAATACCTGTTCGCGTTTTCTTTGTGTCTAGATTTTTTTACTTCTTTACCCTTTTTTCGTTCTGTTTTTTTTACTTTGCTTCAGTCGCTTTTCATCGTAGTGCGATTAAAGGCCTTAGTGGCGGTATTGTGATATTAAGAATTACGAAGTGATTAAGAGAAAGAAGCATGTGATTACCGTTAGGGTTTAGATTAAAGACGCTCATATATAAAGTTTTCTTCGCGGGGTTGAGAGAAACGTAGTGATACCAATCCCTTCCGTTTTACCTTCGCGTACAAGAGAGAAAAAGTACATTGAAATTGAAAACCTCTTCGTGGTATACTTACAAAGGGTGGCGACGCTTTAACCGGTGAATTAAATATTTATATCAGAAAGTGAGGTTTTCTTTTACGAAATGAATTACAACAGGATGCGTACCGCAACGAGACTTAATGGAATTAGATTTAACTCGGGGTTTTTTGTGATAATGCACGGAGAGAATTTTTTCTTAGAATTTACCCTGAAAATATGACAGCCGTGGGACAATATTGTATTTCGAAGAATTTTAATATAAATCTCTCTCATTCATTAATAAAACTACAATAAAGTATAAAATAAGTTTGATCAATTTTACTGAAGTGCATGGTAAAAATCTTTAAAATATTGTATTGTACCACAATCACCATATTTTCAGGGTAAATTTTAAAAGAAAATTCTCTCCGTGTGTGGAGCTGTCTCTTTCAAAATCGGCGAAGCAAAAAACCGATGCTGATGTAATGAAATTCGCTGTTTAAGAAAAAAACTGTATGAAAAGATTTATTTGCATATATTTTATTTTATACGTTAAAATAAATTATAATTTTTATTGAAAAGGAATCTAATTTTTTTCATACGCTCTATAATACCATTTTAAAATTTGTTTCTTGTAATTTCGTTAGTAATGTGTACAATTAACTAATATTTTTTTACAGTAAAGAATTTCTGTTGTATAACCTTATGTGTGTATTATATATATACAGGGTATCTCAGAAAATGTGACCGAAACACAGTGGGGACATAGATTGAATCAAGGGGAACAAAATAGTTTTGTACCATTTTGCAGTTAACGCAATATTTAACGAGATATTAACGTTTAAAGATAGGCGAATACGAGCGTCCGACCAGCCTACTGATCATGTACTGCTGCCGGCAGG